AATAATAGGCTGAGACAGTCTGTTAAAGTCCAGTGTGTTTGTCAGTGTTTGTTTCTGTGCTGAGCACCCAATCATAACAAATAATCATAACACCTGTGTGAGCCCAGAGATCAAAGGTTTCAATCTGCCCAGCAACACCATGGTTACCAACTGCAGCACTGAGTCCCATCAACCTGTTAAACCCCACGCCTGTTTTTCAGGTCTCAGGCTCAAAAAATGAGATTTCCAGAACAAATTACCATAACTACACTTTTAAAAAGGGGAAAATTAATAATCTTTTTTTCTCAAAGTAATGATAAACCTGTGAGTTGGATGTAGAAAAGTCACAGAATCAATATAGATGTTTTTTATTTTAAAGAAAATTCAGATTGAACATAGTAAAAAACTGTAAATTATAGTGTCCGTCCAAAAAATATTTTTTACTTATAGTGAAAACCACCCTTGAATGATGGGATGGTAGACTACAAGCTTTAGGAATCCAAAGTACAACATATAATAAGTACCCTGTATCAAGATTGATGCAAAACAAGTGAAATGTGATCTTTTTAGAGAGATTTAGCAAAAGAAAAACCACTTCTGGGGTCATTTGGGTGGATTTAACCTATCTCTGGCCCCCCTTGGTCGATTTTGATGAATGACATCTCTTTTTAAGAGCCAATGGAATCGAGGGAAAGTTCCACATACACACACAGGTTACCAAATAAGGAGTGAGAGTGATGCGTAGAAAAACAGGAAGCTGTGCCAACCTCTGGTGGCTACCATTAGCAGCTAATTTTTTTTCTCCGATTTTTGCATAAAAATGGAATTATGGATTATCCATAATTTTTTCAAAGGAGACATGTGACAAGAGACACATTGGATTAACCTTCAGCCACGTTTTTTCTCGTTTTAATGCCATTGAACACGACTTTTGATCAGAATAACAGCTAAAGTGAGCATATCTCCGTGTGTTGTCTGTATTTGCTGCCCCTGTCACGAGTTCTGATCACTCAGTGATGATCCTTATATTTCTATAATCTGTGGACTCTCAGGATGTTATCTAAACTTGTTTGTGCAGATCCAATAAGTATATCGATCGGTATAGCTAGAGTTCTGTAATAACGGCATTACGATTTTTTTTCGCTCAGGGCAGATTCAGAGGCTCATCGTTAGTCTTGTGTTTTTCTTTGCTAGAAATGGTTCATATCATCAGTTAGCTGAGTTTCTTCCCGTTACATGGATGTAAAACATTCATAGTTTATTAAATATTAAGAAGCCCTCAGACGCTGTTTCCTGCAGATGATGCGTTTTTTCCGCCCGGGGGCGGGTCGATGGGGTTCAACAGGTTAAGAATGCATTGAGGATTATATCTGACAATTTTGCCACCTGTTCAAAGACTATGGCTCCTATAAAAAATGACCAGAAAGTGAGCATCAGGGAACCCCAATTAACTGATATATGTTTTTTGTTGGGGTTTTGTGTGTAAAATGTGAAGATAGGAGCAGGTTGTCTAAAGTTTACTTCTCTCTGTTCTGAAGAAAGTTCCGGACAAATTTAACATGGGAGCTAGGTGGACTTTTTGTCACTCAGATCACTATTGGGCCAGAACGGTGGGTCCGTCTGATATGATGAAGGCAATTCAGCAGGCCAGACTAATTATGCTCCCGAAATCTCCCGAGTGTATATTTTGCAGTTTTAAAATATTTTTTCCCGAAGATTTTTAAGGCCCTCTACACTAGGGGTGCCCAACCTTTTTTAAACCAAGAGCTACTATTAAAGTTGCCAGTCTGCCGAGATCTACCAGTCCAAATAGAGGGGGGAGGGGGGGTTACTAGTGAATTGTCAACGGGGGGTGCTAGCGAAAATGATGCCATTTAAAAACATAAACGGCCGTCAGCGAATTGAGCCGGCCCTTAACGACCGGCCGTTCTGTGATACTCCAACGGGAAGGTGTTCCCACGGGATACAAAACTTAAAATATTAAATGAAACAATCTCATCTCTTAAAATTCACAACTTATTATGAATTAAACATTCACAAACCTATAATTATGTATTCACATGTTTAAGTCTGTATATGCACGCAACAAACAGAAGAGCGTAGGGCAGAATTAGGAGGGAATTCCGTCTTGTAGCGTTTGTGCACCGTTTTAAAATGCTCTAAATTACCCTTCTTTGGTAAAGCCACGCTCACATTGCAGATGAGACGGACTTTGAATTGGAATAAACAAAAAAATAATCATCCTCCCACTCGGAGTGAAAATTATATATTTTGGGCTTTTTTGCTTCTGCCATAATTGCGGTCTTTTGTGTGTGCGTCACTCCTGTTGACACGAGGTTCATCTCAATACCCCTCCTCGACTCCTCTCTTCCCCTCCTCCGGGACTTGACCCGGAAATCGATCAAGACACGCCATGTTGAAGGACGTCCCAATACTTGAAATGCACACGGGGGAGTCAAGGAGGGGTGAGGGAGGATACAGGAGAGCAGACTACGCGGAAGTGTTTTCACTACTTGCGTATAAAAGCCCCGCCCCCACCTTCACAGCTGGTCGATTTCAACACAGGAAAACGGAGAACTGGAAGAATGAGTGGAAAAGCATCAAATAAATGTATAAGTGCTCACAGCTCCGTGGGAATTATTATGTGCAATTCATTTCTTAAGGTTATACTAACAATTTAAGTCATGTTTAATGATCTTGAACGTCACTAAAACATAGTTATTAAGAAAGCTATTTCATAAATGGCTAGATCTTGATAAATAACAATTATTTTTATTGTTTTGTGTTAAGATATTCAGGAGTTAAATTATTTAAAATTCACAGTCCTGAATGTGGGTTTGTGGTGAATGTGTGGATCTACAGGACATACATTTTCAGAGTAAAGGCTTTCACATTACTATAATTATATTATAACTATTTTTAGACACATCTCGCGATCGACTGGTTGGGCACCCCTGCTCTACACTCTAATGGCGAGTTTCCACTGCAGCGGGTAGCTCACTTTAAGCGTGCCGAGCCGTGCGGGGCCCGTTTTTGGTTGCGTTTCCACTTGGCCTAGTACCGGCTAGCGGGTCCTAATTCACAGTTTTTCTGGTCCCATAAAATCGTGGTTCTAGGGCCAGGAACAACCAGGCTGAGTCGGGCTGAGTATGCTAAACTAGAGAGAGAATCGCTGGCAAGGGGGCTACAACTACAACAAGATGAACATATTTGACCGTGATTTAATTGTAATACACGTTTCAAAATGTTGCTGAAGTAACAACATACTGATACCGGTTAGTAAAAACCATGAATTAATGCAGACAGACGGCAGGCGAAACACCCTTTTAAAATGGGTGTTTTCTAAATGGAGCTTGGCTAAGCTAACGTTATATATGCTCCGACCGTCCACACTCACAACAACGGCCTATACAGACATAAATAAACCAGCGACTGTATTCGCCATGACACAGGCAGTCTGTGGTTTGTACTTGTTTAACTTTTGTCTAGTTTCTGAACAGATATGAAGAGCTGTGAGCTCTGAGTGCTAAGAGCTAACGGCTGTGTTGTTTTTCTGGGGCGCTCATTGAAGATGACGTCACGGCTCCGCCTACACTGCGTTACTATAGTAACTTCCCCAGTTCCTACACTGTAATGGAAGCGCAGCATTAAAGTGAGCCGGGCCTAATAAGGCCTAACCAAACCGAGCGAGGCCGAGCGAGGCCTGCAGTGGAAACGCGCCATGTCACGCACTCACCCCTGAAGAGTCCCTCCCATAGACACCCATTATAAAATCAAAAACAGCCTGAAAATGTACCAAAAATGGATCCCTACATTTCTGCCACCATATGTGAGTTTTGAAGTATTTGTTATATTTTATCAAAAAAAATCAACTAAAACAAACTAGGACTGTCCCAAACAGTTAAAAGTTGTATCCGCAGGTCCTTCCTCCCTGCAGCAGTCAGGCGGTCAGGCTACGTTAACACATATTTGCAATATGTTCCTAGCTAATATTATTATTACTACTGGCTGCTACTTCTTAATTATTCCATTCCAACAAGAATCTGTATGCTATAATGTACATGTACATTTATATTAAAAAAAAAATGTACTACTGTTCTCTACCTGCCACCACACTTAATTCTATAACGTTACACTTATTTTATTTTATAAATACTGCTGCTACATACGGTACTTATTTGTAAATTGTAATTTTTTATTTTGAATACTATGTGCATGCCTTTTTATCTAGAAGTGTGTTATTTTATTTTTTCATCTATGCTGCTGTAACAAAGAAATTCTGATAACACTGATTCTCAAATTCTTAATCAAACAAAGAAATGTTCTTTAAATGACTTGAAATTTGGAGACAGAGCGTGAAAAGGCTATAGCTTCCATTCTGTTCTGATAACAAACAACTCTTCTGTCTTTGTTTCTTTGTTGTAGTAAGTCAAATATTATATAATAATAATATATTATATTTGTATAATTACAGATACAGCTCTGCAAAAATGAAGAGACCACTGGTTCCATCCCCACTGGAGACACTTCACCCCAAATTGGTCCTTTGGGGATTGCCCATACTTAATGTATGCAAGTCACTTTGGATAAAAGCGTCTAACAAGTGTAATGTTATATGTTTGTGCACAGTACAGATATAAATGCTATTCTTTTTATACTATTTGTAGAATGAGATTCATAATGGTTGCTGCATAGGATTGTTTCAAAGATTTCCAATAACTTCAAAAAGTATTGAAAGAATAACATTTATTTTCCTCTCCTGCTTGCCACACAAAGGGAGGCTATGTGTTGAACATTTGTATTCATTCAAATGTTTTCTTTTACTTGAAAATACTTTTAATCATTTTATTCAAAATGAAGATTGTGTTTGAAGAAGTTTTAATGTAATTGAAGGGTGATAACAGTAGGCTTTAAATCACAAATACAAGAATTGGTCCAGTAATAACTATGAGCCATCATGTTTTGAATGTGATCAGCTTGATTGACTTACTGTAGATACAGCGGTGTGCAGAATCTCTCACCTGGTCCTGTATGGACATGACTGGGTTGTTCTTGGTGGTGTTGATGTGCAACACGTGGAAGCGGTTCTTCCCACACAGGTCGTAGGCGATGTTGGTGAAGGAGGTGCTGGCCGTCTTGGGCACTCTGTTGTAGATGATGACCATATCGTCTTTTTCTGCCAGTGGAGGGGATTCCCTCCCCAAGTCTTCACTGTGTCGCTGCTCCACTTCTGCCAGCTGGTGTCTGGCAATGGTCCTTTCTGTACAGGGAAGTCACAAAAACTGAAATGAAGTACCATACTAGGGCTGGGCGATATTCAGAATATACTCGATGTATCACAGACTGAAAAGATGTGTATATCATGTGTTAATATTGTAAGATGTAAATTATTTCCAGTTTAATGTAACTATTATATAATTCCTTTATTTGATACAGATACACAGGAGTAGGGTCAGTCTGGAGCATCATAAATAGCCCTTAATGTCTTCATTTAATAATCTCATACTGGTGTGATAGTTATGGAAAGGGATTTCAAAATATTGCGATATAGCCTTTAATTATTGCAATATTATTTTTAGGCCATATTGCCAAGTCCTATTCCATACCATTACCATTAAAACTTCTACAATTCAAAACCATGGTAAAACCCTTATTTATTGTATACTGGTTCATGATGTCCAGAAGTTAAACAGGTCGTAATTTCCCTTCTCATATTTATTTTACATTGCTTTGAAAACATCTTCCTCAAACAACTGTGATTATTGTATTTGTGTGCTGCTGTGGCTCATGGGGTAGATGAGTGTCTACCAATAAACTGGTCAGTGGTTCGATCCCTAGCCACGCAGTCAACATATCAAAGTGTCCTTAATCCTAAATTGCTCTTATAGGCATATCTACAGTATGTAAGTGTATATCTCTTTGGATAGTGTCAGCTAAATAAATTGTAATTTAATGTAACTTTCTCACAGGATTTAAATTGAAACCATCATGATAACGTTGTAATTTACAATTGCCCAATAGTAATTATCAATGAACTGAGCTTGAAGGCCCCACAATTGAACTCTATGGAACCCCTGTCCAGCTAATGTTAGCTAACTCTCCCCCTGCTGATTGCAACATGGATTTGTTGCATTCAGCGTATCATCATCAGGAAAGAAATATGGTGGACAACACAATGACATACAATAATGAGTAGGGATGCACCGAATATTCGGCCACCGAAAATTATCGGCCGAAAATGGTTAAAAAGGCCCTTTCGGCTTTCGGCCGAAAGGATATTTCAAAATATCAGAGAAAGAGGCGCGGATTGCGATTTTTAAAATGTGTTCAGCTGACCTTTCTCGAGGGGGTGTAATTGCAAATACTTTCACCACTTCGGGATTACTCCACCACTTGAAATCAAAACACCCGGACAAATATGCGGAGTATGATCAAATCACTAGCGCACAGAAAAAAAAAAGTCCTTCCCAGCACCCCGACTCCTTCTGTGGCGGCCCCTTTTGAAAAGGTAAAAAAGTTTCCCAGTGATGGTCCCAAGGCAAAGGGCATTACTCGGAAGTTAATGGAATGCATCGCCATGGATGATCAACCGTTTTCTGTCGTACAGGACGTTGAATTTCGTAGGCTTCAGGGCTCTCGACTAACTTTTTTCACCATCCTCCCGGAACCGTCCCGAAATACAATCTAAGCCGTCCCGAAATTAATGTGGACCGTCCCAAATTTAAAATATTAGTTTTTCTACATTATCATTAGTTAAAATCATTCAAAGTTACCTTTAACATAATTACAACATACAAATCATTAGATGATAATTCATCAACCTTTTTATTTGAGTAAATCAGATAAACACATAAACAAATAATATATTTTAAAAACACACAAACAAGAAAGTTACTCCAAATGTAATCCTATCAAGTCCCATCCAATTAACAAAAATCCAACACGCTGTTCTGAAGACAGAACCCAGAGTAACCAGTAACCAGGATGACTGTAACACAGTCAGGAGACCTTGACATATTAATTAGTCTTGGAACTGGGGCCTTCTGGTCCTGCAGCCACTACTCCACCACTTGGTGACCGCTTTCTCTGCATTGAATTGCTGTGCAGTAGGGCCATGAACTGAGATGTGCAGGAGGAAGCTAAGCATCTCGTTAGACAAGCAAGACCTCCAGTCTGACTTAATTATCTTCATGCTGGAGAATCCACGCTCGCAGCAAGATGAACTCATGGGGAGCACTTGTGTGATCTCCACTATGACCTTCATTTGCTTAAACTGGTCTTCCCTTCCAATAGCACCCGTAAGTAGCCTCTGCCACAGCACCTGGGGTTCAATGTGCCTGTAGTGACGCTGTACGAGGACTTTCAGGTCAAGTCACTCTCTCTTAGCTGCCTCTCCAGAAGTAAAGTCCCCGCATTCTGCAAGGATGGATTGGAAATGCTCCCTGAATTCCATGAGCTCAGCATTGCCAAATGTCGCCAGTTCAGCTGTGTCTTCTGGCCAGTTAGACAGATCAAAGAGGGTGGAGGTTGCCTTCAGAATCCCTGTCTCCAGATTCCCAAAGCGTGCTGACAGAAACCTGCACAGGTCGTTAATGAGGCGGAGCTTTAGTGAGTTGAAGGTGGAATTGTCCGTTTCCCTCCTGTTGAGCTGGACATTCTGCCAGGTGTTTCCAGGTCCAACCTCATCCAGTACCTTCTGGAGCCTTGGGTCTGGGTCTGTCTAGGTTTGTAATAAAAAGAAAAAACATTTTACTCATTGTAATCCATAAAATGAAAACGTTTTAAAGTATGTTATATTGTGACTATAATAATAAATATTTGAAATGTGTATAATATGGAATATTTACTCTGATGATGTTGATAATGTCTAGACTTCCAGGCGTACATTATTGACATTTAAAATATTTCTTATTATATAATAACAGCACAAAATACTTCCACAGTTTTTCAATAATATAATCACAAATGACAAAATATCTTTACAGTTTTTCATATATAGGGATTATATAAATACCAGTTTTACCAATTCCTATATATTCAATTGTTAATATTCAACAATTAATCAAAAAAAATGTTACTGACCTGCATGGCTACAAGTGACAATGTTGTCGTTTGAAGTCCATCAGAGACCATCTGCAAGGTCAGTCCATCCCTCTGAAACAGCAGGCTGAGCTGCTTCAGCTCCTGAAGAATGTCCAACACCAAGTGAATGAACATCACCATCTTGTACTGTGTCAGGGACCGATGAATGGCACGTGCTCTCCCTTTCATTAAGGCACTTGCCTCCCTGTCATTTGGATCACTAGCATGGTTCTCAAAGTGAACCAGGGTAACTTTGAAGTTTTTCACCAAACCTTCAAGGGCCCTGGACATATGTGGAAGCCATCTTGTCCATCAATGTTACCTGATTTTACCACATTTATGCCCATCACTTTCCCAAGTGCATGGAGCTCACGGGAAGCTTTTGCAGAGTGGGAGTAGTGCTTGTAGACACCATTCAGTGTCTCCTTTAATTCAGCCAGCAGAGGCACTGATTTTATGCTGTCAAGCGCTGACAGCTCCAGTCAACTAGGCTTGGAAACATGGTGAAGGGGGCTTCTTCTTTTGCCACAAAGTAAGCTATATTAAATAGCTTTGTCATCTTTTCTCTGACATTCTCTGACATCTTTTGTAGGACACAAGCCATGGATGTTCCGCTTGGGTTTACTTTCGCAGCCTGAGCGCCTTCGCAGTCAGAATGTGATGTCGTTTTGCTGTGTTCTTGGAGTGATTTATCCGGATTTTGCCACCACCCACACCAACGAAAAGGTTGTTCCCTTTCGCAAGACTGGGAAAAGCACGACAGCTTTTTCAGAACATCATGCCTGTCTCTGCATCAAATTCAGCAAATGGGAAGGTTTTCTTCCACTCCGGCAACCATTTGCGTTTTCTTTTTGCCTCATATTTGTTTGAGCTCGAGGCATTTGAGGCAACCTGCAAATAGAAATGTAAAAGTTGAACAATAGAGTGTGCAGCCTATACTCACATGGATTTACAGAAAATACATGCTGTTTTTTTCTTGCATACATTTAAAAAAAAAAATTGTATAGTGTGTGTGTGTGTGTTGTGTGTGTGTGTGTGTGTGTGTGTGTGTGTGTGTGTGTGTGTGTGTGTGTGTGTGTTGCATGTAGCAGCCGCGAGTGTGTAAACTGCCCCCCCCCCCCCTCGCACACTACCCATCCCTAGTACATGGGGAGAGGTGCAGCATAAGGATGGATGCGATGGAGAGTTCTCATCTCAGCCTTATTACCCATAGGGGATGAAGAGGAGTAAGTAAATAAATAAGTGGTTAAAGTTAGTAACATGATCTGAGCTGTTGCGGAGTTTTGACTCCTCATAGTTAAGGTAACGTTATCGTCATCTCACTCACTGTAAAACGGCTGCTGGCTGGTTAGCTAGTGTTAACAATACATCAGTCTAACGTTAGTTAACTAACTGGTAACGTTAACATTAATACGAGCAAGCTTACCTTATTGACTTGGGTTGAATTCCCCGTTACAGCTGTGGTTGTCCTTAGGTCATAGGATTCTGCAGAGTTGCCGTGAAGCCCTTAGTAGGCGGAGTCGGCCACTAACGGCTCGACTGTGACGTCAGAGTCTAATCCCGCCTGCTCCAAATGAGGGCAAAGAGGCGGAGCCGAGGCGGGACCTGCTGCCTCCGAACTGGAAGTAAACAGAGCTGGCTAAGAAGCTAAGCTAACATGAAATACATGCATACTAAGTTACTGCTAACAGTGTAGTTCCCCTATATAAACGTTACATTTATAATCAAATGAGACAATCTGCAAGAGAATTAGCTATATTTTGTTATTCTTAATGCTTGTCATTCACACGTTGAGAAAAGACGGACTCCACCGCCCGGACCTAATGGAGCCGCAGTGGGCTAGCTCCGGGACGCCGGCTGGAGCTAGCCCCCTGCGGCTCCGTTAGCTCCGGCGGCCACCACTGGGATAATTGGGTCCCCTATTAACATTTGCTCCCGTTTAGCATTATGGGCGTCATAGCCATAGACTATAAAAGTCTTACCCAAGGCTGAATCATAAACTAAAATGTATATGTATGCATAAAGGGTTACGTCCTTAGCTGGCTAATAAGTAACAAGCTAGTGATGGGTCGTTCGCGAACGATTCGTTCTTTTTGAACGAATCTTTGAAGTGAACGAGATGAACTGATTCCTCCCACAAAACGATTTGTTTGTTTGAGTCGCCGCCTTCCGCCAAAAGCTAAAGAGAAGCTGTTCGCGAACGACGAACTTAAAGAACTGGCGGAAACAGTTCAGAACTGTTTCCTACAGTGTACTGTAATCAGAGCCCTCTCACCTGAGCTCCGACACACACACACACAAAGGAGCGGGACATCCTCCTCAACCTGTCCGCAATAAAGAGGACGGATATCTGAACCGTAGCGTCCAGCTAGCTTAGCGATAAATACACACAGCGTTGTATTCTCCTCCCCCTGTCGGCCCTAAAAGCTTCAGATGGCGGATACCTGAGCTCCATAGCGTCCCGCTAATGTGAAACACACACACAGCGTTAGCGGGACATTCTCCTCTCCCTGTCGGCCCTAAAAGCTTCAGAGGGTGGATAGCTGGGCTCAGTAGCGTCCCACTAGCTTAGCCGCTAGCTAAAGGTAAACATAGATGGGTACATACTATAGAATATGAATAAATCGTCACCGATGTAGAGGATATATTGTTTTATTCACTTTGAACTCGGCCAAATGGAGTTTAATGCTTTGGGATTTTAATTAGGCCACATAGTACGTGCATGGGTTTGAAAGTATAACGTGCTAGCCTGCTGTAATACATCGTATAGTCAGGCACAAATGTATGAGAGATTTAACAATGGCCAATTATATTTCTTAAATAATATGTAGCCTATTCCCAGAGCATAATTCATGGGGCAACAAGGTGAGGTGTAAAATGTGTTTTAATATCATAAATGTTACGCCAGCAAACTTCTTGTACGGACTTCGGCAGTAGTGAAGACTCACTGAACGAATTAAGTACAAAGACAAATCGTTCGCGAACGTGCAAATCACCAGAAGTCGTTCGCGAACCGGTGAACGAATCAGTGAACGAATCTTTCAAGTGAACTGAATCAAAAGATTTGTGTCCCCGAAGGGAATCGGAATTCCCATCACTATAACAAGCTAAGCTACCAAGCACACAAACACCTGTGAACGGGGTTAACATGTATAATATTATCATTTTAGACTTCTTGGAAGTTCTGTTAGTACATTCAAGCGCACAGCACGACATTTTAATTGTCTGGTATTTGTAACAATATTCCCTAAAAGGCACAATCACCACGAACACGGCTAAAGCTAAAGGGTCAAGTGCAGTACTATGACTAACTAACGTTGTAGCCTCTATGGTTGTAGCCTAGCAGAGTGGACAAGTTGCTGTTAGCTGACAGTGAGGCATAATATAAATAAAAGGGTCGTGTTAGAAAACAATTCACTCACAGATTCATAATCATGAAGGTGGAATCTAACTATATCGATAATAATATTTATTGCATCCATGGGTAGAAACATGTTTTTTTCTGCTGTAAAGTTGGGCATTTTAACATGGGGGTCTATGGAAATTGCTCCTTTCTGCAGCCAGTCTCTAGCGGCCCATGTATGAACTGCAGTGTGTGGCACTTCCGTCTTGGCTTCCCGGCTGTTCCCCAGAGTTTGCCACTTGAGCTAGACCCGCAAATTCGCGGGACAGGAATTCGCGTGTCTAGCTACGTTCTGAGTGTGTTTGAGCTCGAGGCATCACAGCCAGCTGTGCGAGTGGCTGACAGCCAGCGGCACATCTGTAGCTACGTACTGTGTGTGTGTGTGTGTGTATTTTGCGGGTTGCTAAATGCTTTGTGCGTGTGTGTTTATGTTGACAAGGAGGTTTAATAACAGTGTTCTACACAAAACGTGCAGTCAGTTTCATTTCCATCGCCGTTCGTAGTAGAGTTAGCAGGGTATTTTAATTTGAACTCTCGTCCCAAATTCGTCCCACATTTTTTTTTTATCCTCCCCGACACTATTTTTTTCGGCCCCGGGACGACGGGACGTCCTTAAGCTCGAGCCCTGGTAGGCTTATTGAGCACATTGAGCCACGTTATTCCTTGCCTAGCAGATGGCACTTAGCAGACGTGTGCTTACCTGAACTGTACAATGTCGTTGCTAATCATATCCATGAGCTCTTGGCTACAGATATTACAGCCATCAGCTTCACGACAGACATATGGAGCTCAGACGTAAGCATCACCAGTATGCTCAGTCTAACTGCACAATGGATCGACAAGGATTTTAAACTGCAAAAGATTCTGCTGCATTCACAAGAGTTTGGGGGGTCTCATACAGCACAATCCATCTCCTTGGCATTCGCCAATATGTTCGACACATGGCATATCGACCGACCTAAAGTGCACGCAATAGTCAGTGATAACGCAAGAAATATGACTAAAGCTATGGAAGAAGGCAATCTGAGTGGAATATGCTGCATGGCCCACACTCTGCAATTAGCTGTGAACGAGGAAGTGTTGGCTCAACACAGCGTAAAAGATCTGTTGGCCGTAAGCAGAAAGATTGTTGGTCACTTCAAACATTCTCAACTGGCCTATTCTCGCTTAGAGCCAATACAAGATGAGCTTGGAGTAACAACGAAACGGTTCCAACAAGATGTGAGTACACGGTGGAACAGTACTTATTATATGCTGGAAAGCCTCTTTGCTCAAAAGCGAACCTTGGCTACATACAGCACAGATCATGATCTCCCTGCATCATTCACTCCAAACCAGTGGATCTTAATGGAGAACATTCTCTCCATTCTTGCCCCATTTGAACAGCTAACTATAGAAAGATTAGCTCATCTGACGCATCAGACGTCATCCCTTTACATGCGGCTCTAAAGCGTCTTCTAAGGAAAGAGGTTGAAACGGACCGTGGAGTAAAAACTATGAAAAGTACACTCTTGGAGTCTGTCAACACACGTTTTGCTGATATCTACTCTGATCTCCTGTACTGTCGCGACTGTAATTGACCCGCGATAGAAAGATCATTATTTTGATGCGGGGAAAAAGCAAAGCGCACGAGACATGATCCAGGCTGTGTTGGATAAGGAGAACCCACGAGAGGAGGCTGCTGCGCACAGCACAGGAGACGTGACGCAGACCACAGAAAAAAGGGCTTGTCTGTCTACAGCAGAGGAGGAGGAGGAGGAGGAGGAGGAGGAGGAGGAGGAGGAGGAGGAGGAGGAGGAGGAGGAGGAGGAGGAGGAGGAGGAGGAGGAGGAGGAGGAGGAGGAGGAGGAGGAGGAGGAGGAGGAGGAGGAGGAGAGGGGGCAACCACCCTCCTTGTCTGATATGTTCAACGAGATCATGGAAGAGAATACTACCCCAAATAGGTAGGCTACTCTGTTCTGACTTGGTAGTGCTGCGTACCTGGACTCACATTCAGGTTCAGGTCCGGACTCAAGTCCAGAGGTTCAGGTCCGGACTTATAAGTCCGGACCTGAACCCATGGCTTGTGTCAAGTTGTGTGAGTAACTAAAGTGAACTTATTGTGAGCTAATTATCAATTGAAAATTAACTCATAATCAACTCAAATTCAAACTCGTGAGGTTTATTGTGGTCCCTTCCAACTTGTGTCTACATTTCTCTACAAAGTACAAATGTAAAAAAAACACTTTTTGCCACTTAGTCTACAAATGACTTATGACAGCAACTACAGTGAACTACTACAAAGTTCAAACATTTATTTCATTTACCAAACTAAAGTAACCAAAACAGTCCCTGCGCTGACTGAGCCTAAATCCCTAAAACGTTGCTGAAAGGTAGAGTGTAGAGTAGACTATACGCATTACACTGTTACACACCTACTATACAGTATAGGCTACACTGTAGTGACTGACTGTACAGTCAAAGTGTACTGTACTGTCTGTACACCATGTCTTTTCTACAACTCTACATGTATACATTATACAGTACATAATACATACATAGTGATGTACATACATAGGCCTACTGTTAGAAATTAAAATCAATGTTGATATGGCGTAATTTTGAATTAAATACACTATTGTGGTGACCACCTATTTAACCACTGGGACATAATTCAAACTTGGAACTACAGTTGCGGTTATTGTTCCCACACGGACATGTTATCGGTTACCTATAAATAGTGTGTGCCCTCTTGGCTCTCTCTTGTCGACCCGGGCTGCGACCCGACAACATGTCCTTTACAGCTTGTGAATACATTACTATTCTTGCACCTTCCTTGCACCGCCTCTGACTCCATATCTCTTGGCACTACACTATTTAATTTAAATCAGTTTTATTCTGAAAAACCCGGAAATTCACACTATTAACTTAATACTTTTATTCTGAAAACGCTTCACTTCCGGTTAGCATTAGCATGTGACGAAATGCTACGTTTTCAAACCGTGAATCGAAGGTGAAATGACATGTGATGTTGTACACTGAGCACACTGGGATTAGCACTCATTTATTGACGCTGAATAATGTTTATCAGGGAATGTTTAAATAACCACAGACACCAGAATAAACGTAAGTGCTAGTTTTTTTGC